CTGAAAAGAATTGGAAAAGTACCCCTAGAATCATGTTTCGATTGACCCCATGTACAATGAAGTTTAACTTCAGAAAGAGTCAAGAAAGCCAGAATGGTTCTTAGACCCCTGAGAACCTCTACTAGGTCCTCCAGTAGCAAGGTTAGAATAAGGGTACCCTTTTTTCTGCAGCCTATTTTAGTAGGGGAACCCTCCCCCAAAAAGAATCGGTAAATGTTGGCACCTAGCTGGGGGACCTACTCTGGATGGACAAATCCTGCACCACCTAAGAAACCCTGGCTTCTGATGATTCCCCTACGTAAATGCCAAGAAACACTGGTTTCAACCATGGTTTCTTAGGTGGTGCGAAATGGATTTCGTCCATCCACAGTAGTCTAGGTTGTTTTTTTAGCATTCTTTTAGTACTCTTTTAATATCCTACAGGGGTGGATCCACAAAACCCGCATCCAAACCGTTTCCCAGAGAACCCTTCTAGGGGCCTGAGGGAGCCCTAGATGTCTCGCTCATCCCCAAAGTCCTCAGAACATGGAAGCTCCCAGGACCCCTGGAAAAGACTTGGTTCCATTTACAGAGGCCTCTGGCAGCTTCCATGTTAGGCTGAGGGAGTGTAAGAACCCTTCTCCAACCCTCTCTCTTGGTTGACGTTGGAAGGGGAGCAACAAAAACTAATTTTAGCGGGGTGTTCCCACTAAACCACAATAAACAAAAATGTAAAATGTTTCCCAAACAACGGCCATGTTCTAGGGGGCTGAGGGAGCCCCAGATGTCTCTCCAACTCCCCATTTCGTCCTTCGTGGAGATCGCTGGCAGCTTCGTCGCCGCTCCTGTTTGACGAAAGCCGACTGTACCGAGGCTGGCGGCTCGCTCACCCAGCAACGCACTCTTAAAGGGGCTGTGACGCCCCCAGAAGAAATAAAAAAGAGAAAGAGGAACCCACAAAAAAAGGGCTCCTGTTTTGTTTGGTTGGAACATGAACCCCCCCAGAAGAAAAAGGAAAACAAGGCACAACTTGCGGTTCAGCAGCAAGGGACATCCAGACCTGTGGGCAGAAAAAAAGAGACACTTCTTGTTTGTGTCTTTGTTTGTTTGTTTTGTTTGTTTGTGTGTTTGTTTGCTTGTTTGTTTGGTTGAACCCCCAAACAGAAAGGAACACAGTTCTGTGGCACAACCACAATTCTCAAAGGGGATTCTCTGGGAATAGGCGGAATGCCCTGCTCAATGATACACATATTTACCCAGGCCCCAAATAAGTAGGAGCCTCTATGAAGGGGTTCTGAGCAACTGGATTGGCGATGAGGTCCCAAATCTCCCTCCAGTCGCCCCGAACGCCCCAAACCCCAAGTCGGTCGTGCCGGAACGGCTGGAATTCTTGAGCAGTGAGGCCTCCAAATTCGACAAACCCTTTTGTTTGAGGGTATTCTTGGTGGACATTGGAAGGGGAGCAAAAAAACAAATTTTAGCAGTTAAGTGGGAGGTTTCCCACTAAACCACACAAAGCAAAAATGTAACATGTTTCCCAACAACCATGTATTTGTTGAACCATACTGGCTTTCCATGGTGCAAGCTTGTTGTTTAGACGGTTGACATGATGCCCTAAAAGGTTTCGGCTCAGAACATCCCCAAGACATGGGTTCGGTCCATGCTGTTGTGGCTGTGTTTTTCAGGCTCACCCCATCAGGGATCCTTACACTATACACCTGAACATTGCAACTTGTAAATGGTGGTTCCCTGTATCTGTGTGGAAAAAAGGCCATGTCTCAACTGGTTGCAAAATGGAGATCTTTTAAGGAGCCCTGCCCATGTACGTCATGTTTGGCTCAAGTATCATAGTCCCTGTGGCTAGGACTGTGATCAGTAAAACAATCCAGCTTTCGTGACGGCTTCCGATCGGGGCATTGCATTCATCTTGGGGGAACGGCACAGCCCGAACTCCCCCCTCCCCCCTCCCAGAAAAAAAAAGAAGCTAACAACAACAAGGGGACCAACTCCAAATGGGTGTCTTGTTTCAGGCGACCCCCCAACAGGGCGGTGTTCGCTTTGGATTCCCTTTAAAACCAAAAAACAAGGCCTCAAAAAGGACGCACCCATTTTTTTCTGGATAATGCAGGGAACCGGGCCTCACGTGGGTTGGACATCCAAGCAGCGACAGCGACCAAGTGAACGCTCCTTTTTTTCTGAGGGGATATCGACTTTCACATGGGAGGTTGACCAAAACGCGGTCCACGCGGGCATGATGTTGAAGTAGGGACTCTTTGGTGGACACGCTCCACGGGAGAAATGCCAGGCTGCCCTGTTGAAAACCTGTCTTGGACGGGTGTTGTGTGGCGCCTTCAACTTCCAGCGCCATGGAAAAATGTTTGCCCCTCACCTTGACACAAGACTCTCGGTGGATTGGCCAGTCCAAACTTCGTGCCGAAGGGCTTCCGAAACTGCAGGGCTAAACTGCTGGGGCCAGAACGAGAAATGGGTGCGGTTCCTGCCTGGAGTCTCCATGACCCTTTAAAAATGGGTCAACGACCCCATTATTTTGGGTAATGACCCCATTTTTTAAGGGTCATGGAGACTCCAGGTACTTTTGAGGGCATCCTTTTTGGGGTGCGTTGAAAGGGAAACCAAAGGCAAGCGGATCATTTTGGCGGTGCCCCGAGTTTAAGACATAGATGGACCAGAATACAAAGACGTCCAAAGGTCGGATCCGGCCGATTCGCCTTGCAACTGAGTCTTACCGAGTCGGGCTTCAAAACTCTGGTCCTGAAACTCAAGGAAGAAATGAGACCGAACAAGGGGCCACACCGCAAGTGAGTTGGGTGTGCTGTTGTTGAGGGAGCTCATGTGTTGGTGGCTTTAAAGGGACACCACTGGAAAACCCACGATTTTGGGGGTCCCGAAAACGAAGACCGGCCACCCAGCTGTTCCCCCCAAAAAAAAACATGTGGGTACGTCTCTTTATTTTGTCATCCAAAAATAATTTGTTCTTGCGAAAGGAAGCCAACTTGCGAAAACCAAGCAGATCTTGCGGGTTGGCATTTTCTTGGTATAGCAAAAAATGTTCTTTCTTACAGCTCCCTACCAAAAATGAATCGTTTTATTAAGGGCCCTTGTTGGTCAGCTAGATATCAAGCGGTGGTTTGGATTCGGATTTGAGCCCCCTGGCTACCTCCAAACCACCGATTCAGCTCCAAACCACCAATTGGGTGTCAGGTGAGTTGGGGTTCTTCTTGGGGCAACCAACAAACAACCATTTCATCAACCTCCCATGTCTTCTCGCTGCGCCTGCCAGTGCGAATGACACGCACAGAGGCAGACTCTGGGCAAGGCTAGCGGATCAACAAAATGGAATACGAGCCCCCGACCAAAAAGGCAAACACATGTTCTGGACTGTCCGTTTTCTAGTCCCTTGCTAAAAGTTGGCTAAATATTGAAAGCGTTACCCAACTGAACCGACTAAAAACAACTGAGCGCTCAACTAAAGACATAAGGAACGCGGATGATTCGCTGGTTGAACGTTGGGACGTCTCCTTCTAGTTTCGCCTTCAAAGCTAGCGTATGAGCGTACCGACTTCAAAAGACCAGGGCCCGTGGAACGGCTTGAGGACTCTCTTTCAAGCGATCCATTCGGTGGATCTTCTGCCAACGAACGATGCCTTCCCAGGGGTTTTTTAGGTGGACTAGGTCCTCCAGTAGAGAGGTTAGAATAAGGGTACCAACTTTTTTTCTGTAGTCTAGTTTAGTCACGGGGAACCCTCCCCCCAAAAAAGAAACGGCAAAAGTTGGCACCAATCGCTGGGGGCCCTAGTGGTGCAAGATTCCGTCCATCTGTGGGTGCACAAGATCCGCTTCACAGGTCGTTCAACCAGACTTTCTGAGGCGTCATCCATCCCAAGTTGCGCAACATTTCGTCCACCAGTTCCTCCTTCCAGCTTAAAAAGGCATGCATTCCCAACAAAATTGCCCACCGTGCGAGTTCTTCTCGCAGGAAATGCAGACAATGTGGCTTATTTCACGCCCAACATAGGTATGGTCATCCTATTCCTCTGAACTATGTACCTTGGCTTGCCGTGATGTTCGATTTGTGGCGAAAAGGGATTTGAAGGAAGTCCTCCCCAGTTTTCGTGAACGGCGGTTTGGGGGTGATGCAAAACAACTCTGCTCACCGAGCTGGGCTCCTCAGATCCCCTGATACAAGTCTTTTAAGTTTAACTTGTGGGCAACCACTCAACCCAAAAAACCAAAAAACCTTGAGCAACCGGACGCTTGGGAACCACCAAGAGAGGTGCATGTTCGTGGAAAACGCAAATCCGCAACTTTGCCACTGAGGGCACTCGCTTGGTATAGCCGAAAGCTGCACGCCCAAACACCCTATCTTCCACACGCGTTCTTTCAACCAAACAAAGGCATTAAGGTTTATTGAAGGGTATCACATAAAAAGGCAACCCCAAACCCAACTGTCCACGAGCAGGTCATGGCGTGGAATCAAATGCCAGACACTGCCGGTCGCTTCAAACAAGACATCTGGCTAGCCCCGGCGGCTTAAAACTGATCCTGATCTGGGGGTGGTTCAGCGGCTGGATTCTGTTCACGCGCACCTCTGACTATTTCACTTCCAATCGAGTGGATGGGCCAAGGAAAGTCCAAACTTTTGGTTTACCGTAAAAATGGTCTTACCCAAAAGTTTAAAGTCCATGAACTCAGGAAGTGAGACTATTCAACATCGCAGCTCCAATCTGCCGGACTCCGCTCGAGCATCGGCCCAAATTCGGAGTCGCGTCCTTTGCGCGATGCCCCCGGCGACAAGCGAGCGCTTTTGGCAAGTGCGTCCATTGGGTGAATGGTCGACGTATTTGAATCGACAAGTGGCTGTGGGTCAAAAATAGGTACCCCAAATAGAACCTGGTAAATGGAAAGAAGGACTAAAACCTGCGGTCCCCTGTGGTTTTATTTTGATCCATACCCAAGTTGGTCGACAAAGCTGAAAAGTAGAACCAGCAAAGTCATGAAATTCCTTCCCTTGACACAAACTCGCGCACACACAGACACATATCTCAGCGGCTGTTGATCGCTTTGGATCGCTTCTGCCCCCCCCCCCCCGGGCAATTCGTTCGGCCGCCCTTCAGTTGACGTCAGATGCTTTTCTGCAGATCGGGAACCTGACTTGCTCACTGGGCAACTGGGTTTGCGTAAGTATTACATGCGGCGTAGATGCAGATTTCTGACCCATGCAGTCTCATATATTGAGCGGCAATGGGCTTATTTAGATTCTCGAAGAATGCTGTGTGTGTGTGTGTGCGTGTTGTTCACGGTGCTCACGTTGCAACTTGTGTTGATCTTTCGAAAATAGATTGACACCGCATCGACTTCAAATAGATCAAATGCTTATAGGAAATTCATGTTCCTTCGTGCATTGGAACATGTGTAGAGATATTACTCAATACACAAAGACTGCATTGAAGCTTTCTTGCGTAATGTTTTGTAGTTTCGTTTTTCTTACATGATGGTATGGCATCGCTGCTGGTGGAAAAAAAGGGCACTCTGTTCTGGTAGTTGAGTCAAAGTGAAGCCCACCCTCCAAAGCTTTGAAGAAAGGCACAGACCACTGCGTGTCTGGGTCTTTCCGGTGGCAAACCTGATGTGTCTTTTCCTAGGGCACCCTCAAAATGGTTGTTGTCTGTTTGGTTTCCCGGAAACACTACAAAAAACCTGCCCTGAACAAAACACACGCCCATAATGCGGCTTTCAGTTTAGTCTCCCTTTAAGACCACGAGGAAACACACCCTCCAACAAACACATGTTCAGCTTGGCTTCCCTTTAAAACCACGGGAACAAAAACAAAAACAACTCCAATCGGAAAAAATAAAATAACAGAAATAAACTGGTGTAAGCCGGGCGGCTCCCGTATGTGGGCCATCCATATGGCTATGAGCAGCGCAGACACCGACTGCTCGAGGCGTGCGAGGTGGAAGAAGCCCGCGAGCCAGAGGCCCATGGTGATGCCCATGCACACCGTGGAGCCGAACATTCCGTTCCTTGAGCCGGGGGGGGCAAGGGGTGTGCGGGTGTGGGATGGGGTGGGGTTGTGGGGTGAGGGGGGGGTGGTGGGGGGGGGGGGTGTTGGCTGGAGGTGTGGGGGTGAAGGGGGGGTGGAGGGGTGAAGGGTGGGGTGGGCGTTCCTCAACTTGCTGGTGCGATAGGTAGGGAACGTCCTTCCGGGTTTTGGGAATCAACCTGGAAATTCCCTTGAAGAAAGCCGTAGGGGATGGTTTATAGGGGTCATTCCCTCATTCCCCACTGAGAACCAGTTGGGGTGGGGGCAAGGGTGGGGTGCGGTTGGGTGGGAATGAAATCCTAAGACTATAGGTACCTCATGGGTAGTGGGAATTGCGCATCTAAGTAGAACTCGCTTGATTGTGATCGGAAAATGTCCCCTTTCAGTGGGGGCTTATCACTTTTGGAGGGAACAGGACGCGTGTATTAATGCGTCAACATTGTGACAAACAAAAACCGGCCGGGATTCATAGGGGGTAAGAGAGATAAAAGGAGGGGGAGGAAGAGACAAAAGTGGTTTGGCGGCTGTAACAGTTGTGTTTTTTTTTTGCAATTTAGTATAACCTTCCTTTCCTGGGTGGGGTGGGTGGGGGGGGACTGCAGAAAAACGTGAATAAAGTTGACCCGGATGAATGAACCAATGGGGGGGGAGTTCCCCTCCAAAAGTGATGCCCGCCATAAAAAGGTGCCACCCACCGTTATACATCAACCAGGGGTGTATTCATCCAGGGTTCCCACTAACCACGAGACCAACACTAGGTCCTCCAGCAGAGAGGTTAGAATAAGGGTACACTTTTTTCCTGTAGTCTAGTAGGGGAACCCTCCCCAAGAAAGAAACGGTAAAAGGGCACCTAGCTCAGGGACCTAGAACATATGGGTGTGGCTCAAAATTAAACAGCAGGGGTTACGCAGGCTTTGGTCCATTTTTCCACTTAACAGGGCGAGCCATTTTGGAATTCCGGTTTTTTGAGCCACAGCCATATCCATGTGAGTCTTTTCTATATCTCTGATCCTCCGGAAACTGGTACCCAGGAACCCATTAAGCCGTGATTGATCCACTGGGGTTTAAGCGACCTCCATTTGCTGAGAAGTTCCCTGGACAAATTAAGAAAGTATTTCCAGTAGTGATAGAGTCTCTTTGAAACCAACAGGGGAAAATCCAAAAACCAACCTTAGCCAAATGGAAGGCGAAAATGGCCTGGCCGCCGGGTGGAATTCTGAGTGGATTGCCCACAAAATGGGGCAATCACTGTTTTTGTTTCTTCTGTTTTTCTTTTTTTTTGACATGGTCGTTTGAGGGTACCTGGAGTCTCCACTCTTTAAAATGGTTGGCCATTACCAAAAATGATGGTTGGTCATGGACCCATTTTTAAAGGTCAGAAGGAGACTCCAGGTCTTTGGTGGACATCATTTTTAGGTGGGGACGTATGTTCAACAACTTTCGTATCTATATCGAACACCATTCTAGCTGTACCCTAGGGATCCTTCTTTTCAACAGAGGGCCAAACCCTGCAAAATAAGTAGTTTTTTCAAGATAATGATGGTAACGAGAATGGAAAATAGGTAGTTTTTAAAGGGTCAGAAGGAGACTCCAGGTACACGTAAACTGTTGCTTACCACTGAAAGGGCCTCCCGCCTCCCCGAGAGAAGCCAGCCCAGAGCTTTGGGAAGTGACTGCTTTGCAGGGCAAAGTGTCTGGAAAAAAACGCACCTTGGCGATCCAGGTGTGTTGCTTGGTGCCTTTTGGTAGGTTCGTTCAGAACGGAAACCAACACTTCCAGTCACTTAAAAATATGTTTTATATTTTCCCGTTTTGATTTGAAAAGAAATATATCACTAGGCTTAAGCCTGCCTAATCACTACCCCGCATTGCTAAACAACACCCTTTAGTGGACATCGAATTTCGGCGGGGATGTCTGTCCACCGCTTTTGGACCAGTGGTTCCCTACTGTGGATGGACGAAATCCATTTCGCACAACCTAAGAAGCCCTGGCATGGTCTCATTCCCTGTAAATACCAACAAACAGTGGTTTCCCATGGTTTCTTGGGTGGTGCGAAATGGACTTCGTCCATCCACAGTATTAAGAGTCCTGGTCATTCCATGTATTCTTCGGGGGGTTCAACAGACCGGCTGACCGGTACCCGAAGCTCTGCTGCGGGGTGAGCTCCCCGTGCTGCGTCATGGAGACCAAGACGAAGGAGTAGTGGCTGGAGTACCCGGCGCCTCGATCCATCGATCTCCGGGCTCGGATTCGTGTTTTTCTTTTTCCGGACTCAGAGCCAAGGAAAGAAAGGCCGCACAAAAACTTCGGAACGGGTCTTTGTGGGCGCAATGGAAAGGCCACAAAAACTCGGTGGCGAAATCTGCGAAGCCCTGCTAAAAGTGAATAACCTTTAGTGGGTTAGTACGGAAAGCCCATGAGTTGGCAAAAAGTTAAAGTCCTAACATCCAAGCGAAATGCACCAAAGGTTTTTGGTTTTACCACGCAGAAAGCCAGTGAAAACAACAAAAACAAAAAACGGGGCTCGTCTCTGGTTAGGAATCGGACCCCTTTGCCTGTGGCTTTACACGAAACCACAACGTAAACCGAAGCCTTTTTTTTGAATTCCCGAAAGCATGGCGAAGGGTTCTTCCGCTGGGTTCACTTGAGTTGTTCTCATGAGAGTCATTACAAGGTGTCATTGCGAGGAATCATCATCATGAAAGTCATTGCAAGGAGTCATTGCAAGGAGTCATTGCAAGGAGTCATTGCAAGGAGTCATGGCAAGGAGTCATTGCAAGGAGTCATGGCAAGGAGTCATTGCAAGGAGTCATTGCAAGGAGTCATTGCAAGGAGTCATTGCAAGGAGTCATTGCAAGGAGTCATTGCAAGGAGTCATTGCAAGGAGTCATTGCAAGGAGTCATTGCAAGGAGTCATTGCAAGGAGTCATTGCAAGGAGTCATGAGAGCCATTGCAAGTTGCAAGGAGCCAAGTGCATGGAGTCAAGTGCAAGTCGCAAGTGCACGGAGTTAAGTGCAAGTTGCAAGTGCAAGGAGCCAAGTGCAAGTGCAAGTGGAGTCAAGTGCAAGTTGCAAGTGCATGGAGTCAAGTGCAAGCAAGTGCAAGGAGTCAAGTGCAAGTTGCAAGTGCAAGGAGTCAAGTGCAATTGACTTGCGAGGAGTTAAAATCTCTTCTTAGGGCGGCGGGGTAGTGCCGACGACACTACACGAAAATCGACCCTCTGCGGGGATCGGCGTGGTCGAGGTGCAAAAACCCATGGTTTTTTGCGATTTCTAAGTTCCCGCGCGACCCTCTGCGGGGATCGGCGTGGTCGAGGTGCAAAAACCCATGGTTTTTTGCGATTTCTGCCTGCTCGCGCGACCCTCTGCGGGGATCGGCGTGGTCGAGGTGCAAAAACCCATGGTTTTTTGCGATTTCTAACTTCCCGCGCGACCCTCTGCGGGGATCGGCGTGGTCGAGGTGCAAAAACTCGAGGTTTTTTGCGATTTCTGCGGTGCTCGCGCAACCCTCTGCGGGGATCGGCGTGGTCGAGGTGCAAAAACCCATGGTTTTTTGCGATTTCTGAAACTTCGCGCGACCCTCTGCGGGGATCGGCGTGGTCGAGGTGCAAAAACTCGAGGTTTTTGCGACTTTTGTTGTTCGAACTGGTCCTCGGGAGTTGTCTCGTGGTTCGCGCGCCTGCTCCCGGAACCGGCGGGTCGCGGGTTCGATTCCTCCCTGGTCCGCGGGCGGGCGTCGCAAGATGCAACTTGCATTTTAAAGCAACTTGCGCAGAGCAACTTACGCAGAGCAACTTGCACAGAGCAACTTGCACAGAGCAGCTTGCACAGAGCAACTTGCAGGGAGCGCAATTTGCACAGAGCAACTTGCAGGGAGCCACTTGCAGGGACCAACTTGCCGGAGCAACTTGCGCGGAGCAACTTGCGCAGAGCAACTTGCACAGTGCAACTTGCGTAGAGCAACTTGCGCAGACCAACTTGCACCGACCAGTTTGCGCAGAGCACCTTGCCTGGTGCTGTCTCGCGCTTGCTTCACGAATGCTTCGTGTAGGGAAAAAGAACGCATCCTGCAGCGTTGGGCCGACCTCGCTTGCGATGTTCTGCTTTCGGGCCAACCGTGGTCTAGTTCTCTTAAACAAGAACACCCAAACAGGGTCACTGGAAATTTCCGAATCAAAGGTTGATCAATTTACTGGTGGTTTCCATTGTTCCAAAAAAACAGAAAAACGGGCACAATGGCGGAAACCCTGAGAAAAGCCTCGAAACAAGGCGTGCTGGGCAACTGAACCGCAACTCAGTTCCGGACAGCGGGCTTGAGCTTGCCAAAGGAAGTCGAAACTGGTGTGAATCCAGATTGCTTACCTCCATTTGCTGAGAAGTCCCCTGGAAACATAAAAGTATTTCCAGTACTGATAGATTCCCCCTAAAACCAACAGGGCAAAACAAAAAGTATTCTTAACCAAATGGAAGCTGAAAGTCCGTGAGCTGGGGGAGCGAGTGTTCACAAACCGGGACACGATAGTCTGAAGATGGTCAGTATGGGCAAGCTCGTTTTGCTTTCAAATGAGCTCGTTACAAGCTGTGCTAAAGAGGATTTCATTGTGAACTCGCCAAGTGGCGAGTTCAATGGGAAAACAGGAATTACGCCGCCTTTTGTGGGAACCGCCTCACAGGAGAATTGGATCTTGTTTTCGTGATCGCGCTGTTTCCCAGTAGAGTTATCCAACCCTTGGCATGGTAATTAGCAATCAACTTTGCTTGTTGCAGCACCACTAAAACTGAGCAGAACCAAGCAACTGAAACGCTAAAAAAGTGGACTGGCCAAAAACGTCCGACACAGGGAGTGAGAAGAACAGTGACTAGGTCCTCCAGTAGAGACATTAGAAAAAGGGTACAGTACCCTTTTCTCTGTAGCTATTTTAGTAGGGGAACCCTGAACCAAAAGAGTTGGTAAAAGGGCACCTAGCTGGGGGACCTAGTTGGGCTGCCTGGTGTTGGGATTCGGCGCAGCTGGCTTTGGGACTGGGTCAATGCGAACATGACAAACCCCAGAAGATGGGAAAGCAGGTACCTGGAGTCTCCATGACCCTTTAAAAATGGGTCCTGACCCCTTTATTTTGTGTAGTGACCCCATTGTTTAAGGGTCATGGAGACTCCAGGTACGTAGGGCAAGCACGTGTCTCAGAACTGGAAGACCCCACAATGGGGTTGGTTTCCTCTTAGGTTGCCTTTTACCCAGACCTCCAGTGGACATGGTAAATCATGGCACCGTTTTTTTGCTCGATTTTAAAGGGGCCCCCCTCAATCAACAAAGGCACCTTGATTCAGGCGCGGATGTTAAACATGATTTATTGTTCCCCCGCAACACGCCCTCCGAATGATCCGAAAAAGAAGGACATGCCACTTCATGCCACAGTCTGAAAAAGGGCTGGTTTTCGGAACAAATGTGTACGCACCCCAACATGTTTAGCAACGTGTCTTTAATATTGACTGTATTTTGTTACATCCATATGCGCGTATAACTCTAAGAATAGGGACCTGAAACAACGGACGTTTCTCAGAGCCTTTCGTTCGTTGGTTACCAATCAACCGGAACGGGTCTGCTCAGGGTCGGTTTCGACTATGTGGGTCTGTCTGTTTCACGAACCCGTTTCAACTTGGTTTCAAGGGACGCCAAAAGGACAAACAAACATTCTTTTGGGGGGAGGGCTGTGTTTTGACACATACCCTACCCTCCATTTGCGTAGGTCCCCAAAAACAACATATTCGAAGTAGTGATAGATTCCCTTTAAAACCAAGAGGGGAAATCTAAGAGATTCTTCAGCACACGGAAGGTATGAATGTTGATTGCAGATCCTCTTGATACATCTTCTCAGAATAGGGGATCCTAAACAATGGTGAGTTGTTTTCTGGTTAGCTTTAAACCAACCCCCGATACACCCACGTACCCATGTTTGCAGCGGCCAAAACATTGACTTTGATTCTACCAAGATGGCTATAAAGGTGTATATTGAGGTCGAGGGATTACCACAATCTTGGTTACAATAAGAGGGAATCGAACCGCCTGCTACTCACGCGTGGATGGCCCCCCCCCCCAAAAAAAAAAGGTCTTTCCAAAAAGTGACTAGAGTCTATGAACTCTGGAAGTCGAGGCAAACACCTGCTACTGTTAACACCGTTTTCTTTTTTACACCCCCTGGTTGATTAATAGGGGTTGTCCCCGTTTAGTGGATATTCAGACCACTTTTGGAAGGAATAGCCCCCCCCCAAAGTGGGAAGGGTTTACTAATCCTGGGTCGACATTAACGTGGCCAGCGGAAATCACTTTGGTTCTACTAGAGGGTAGAAGAACTTGTATACTTGGAAACCACTGTAACCCTCGTTGAACCCGTTAAACCAAGTAGGAACCGAACCACCCAACACGCCAAGTGGACAAATCGATCGCTCGGACGCGGCCCGTCGCTCCGGCCTAGCAAGGTGATCCCTGCGAAGAGCAGGCGATAGCTGCCCTGAGGCTCAGCGTCCAGTGCCATAGATGCCATCAGGAAGCAGATCGCGCCCAGCAGCACGAAAACTCGGACGACCCCCCGGGAAACACGGGAATAGGATTCGCCGGAAAAAAAAAGGGGAAACACGGGGGAAAGACACATATTCTAGGGGTCGATTCTAGTAGGTCAGTGCTTCTTTCTTCGGGTACCTCGAGAAATGAATTTAGAGGAGAAAGGCAACCTCATGATTTTGGGAGGTATTAAAACTGAAATGACAGGTTCGGGACTGGGGCAAGGTGCGCAAAATCCTAACCTGGACCTGTCATTCAGTTCTTGTGGGTTTCCTCTGAACTTTCCTGAGCCTTTGGGTCGGAAGCAAACTTATCCTGCTGGTTTTCCTGTTGGTTTCCTGTTAAACTACCCCAAAAGGGCACCTGGACCCTCAAACTACCTCAGAAAAGGGAGAAAACGGAAACGCCAACCATCATTTTGGGGGCAATAACCCACTTCGCAGGGTACTTCTTTCCCAAAAAGAAAGGGACAACAGCGCTGGTAGCCCGAGGAACCCACTCACTCGCCCCGCGCCTTCAGGCGCGCAGTTTCGCGCCTGAAATCACCCGAGGCGCCCAGGCTAATGTGGACCAGCGCGGAGGGCAAGATGTGTCTGGCCAGCCAGGTGTTGATGAGCCGCGGCAGCCTGCCAAGTTTGTCCGGGTGGGACCGGTGGCTTGGGTGTAACCGCTCCAAGTGAGGTGATTGGTAACCTGGGTTTTATGTCCTACTCATAAGCCTCCCAAATGGTGTGGGGCTTGGTTCTACTTGGTTAAGGTGAGTATGACCTATCGGAAGTTGACCAAACAAAACTCACCAGTTGTTCAAGTGGAGTTAGCAGGTTATAATCTAGGTGATTAGCCACTTAGCTTGACAAAACAATCTAGTAAGTGGTTAATGAGCTGGGTTATGACCTACTGCGGATGGCATGGTTGCGAAATCCATTTCGCACCACCGTTCAGGCACCCTGGAATGATGTGATTCCCCTGTAAATACCGATAAAGTGGTGGAGTTCGTGCATCCACAGTATCATAAGCATACGTGTCCTTTTAAGGGGGGGAACCCTTTTTTCTCACCCTCCAAACTTTTTTGGTCAACCCTTCCCTGTTTTTTCAACCCTTCACCCTTTCAATTTAACCCTCCCCCCGTCTTTTTTAACCCTCCCCCTTCTTTTTTAACCCTCCCCCCTTTTTTTCTGACCCTCCGCCTCTTCCTTTCAACCCTCCATTTATTTTTTGCCAACCCTGTGGCCGACGCCTGCGGCAACTGCACTAAGCAACGGTTTAGGGTTGGGTTGGTTTCGGAGTGGTTTTGGATTTAGAGTTGGTTTAGGGTGGTGGGTTTAGGGTTGGTTTCGGATGGGAAGGGTTTAGGGTTTAGGGTTTGGGGTTAGGGTCGGTTTTGTGTTGGTTTAGGTTGGGCGACCTCAGATTTAAGGCTAGTTTGGGGTAGGATTAGGTTTGTGTAGGAAGGGTTTAGAGGCGGGGTAGGGTTTGTTGAGGGTGAGTTTAGGGTTGGTTTGGGATGGAAAGGGCAAGTTTGTGGTCGGTTTAAGTTTAAGGTTGGTTTCGAGCAGGTCTGTGCTGGGTATATGGTGGGTTCAAAGTTGGATGAGGGTGGGTTTTTGGCTTGGAGAATGGGTCTACGGTGGGTTTATGATTGGTTTAGGATGGATTTAGGGTTGGCTACGGGTGGGTTTAGAATGGGTTTAGGGTGAGGTCAGGGTTGGGATAAAGGTTGGATTTACATGGTGTTAATTTAGGGTGGGGTTAGGGCTTGTGTCGAAAGGCTTCAGGGTGGATTTGGGTGGATTTAGTGTTGGCTTAGAATCTGTTCGAGGTGGGTTTGGGGTCGGCTTCGGGTGTAGGGTTGGATTAGGTTGACTTTGGGTTTGTGTTTGGTTTAGGTGGTCTAGAGTAGGTCTGTGGTGGCTGTAGGGTTAGCTTAGGGTTGGTGTAGGGTTGGTTCAGGGCGGGTTTGCGGTGTGTCTATGTCTAGGGTGGCGTTGGGGTTGCGCTAGGGGAGGCTTGGGGTCGCTCAAGGGTGGCTTAGGGTTGATTTGGGGTGGCTTGATTTCAGGTGGGCTTAGGGTTTTTAAGGGTATGTTGTTCGTTTGTTTTGGGTTGGATGTAGGTTGGTTCAGGGTTGGTCTGGGATGGTTTAGGGTGGGGTTTGCGGTTGGTTTCGGCTTGGATGTGGATTGGTTTTGCGGTTGGCCTAGGGTTGGCTTCACTGGATTTAGGGTTGGGTCAAGCTCAGCTTAGAGTCTCAGGGTGCGCTTAGAGTTGGATCAGGGTGGATTCATGGTTGGTACAGGGTGGGCTTATGGTTGGTTTTAATGTAGCGCTGGCCCAGGTTTAGTGTGGGTTGCTTTTGCGTAAGTTTAGGGTGGGGGCAAGGTTGGTCTAGGGTTGGTTTTTGCTGGGCTTGACTTTAAGGTTGGTTGTCGGGGTGGTTTGGGATTGGCTAAAGCTGGGTTTAGAGTGGGTTTAGGATTGGCTTAGGGTCGTTTTAGGGTTGAGGGTTGGTTGTGGGTCGGTGGGTCTGTTCAGGGTTTAGGTTGGGCTTGGGGTTGCGTTAAAGCTAGATTAGGGTGGGATTGGGGTTTAGCTGGGTTTAGGGTGGGTTTATTGTTGGCTTAGGCTAAGCTTAAGGTGTGGGGTGGGATTACGGTTGGATCAAGGTTCGGGCGGGTTTAGAGTTCGTGTAGGGTGGGTTTAGGGTGGGTTCAGGACTGGCTTGTTGGTTTAGGGTTGGTTTAGTTTGTTGATTTCGGGTTGGTTTAGGGTCGGTTTGGGATTGGTTACGGGTGGGTTATGTATGCTTTAGGGTGGTGGTTTCGAGTAGGGGTGGGTTTGGGCGTGTTTGGCTGGTTTGAGATTGAATTAGAGTTTGGCCGGTTTGAGGGTTGGCAAGGTTTGGCTTAGGGCGGGCCTAGGGTTGGTTTGGGTTGGGTTGGGTGCGGGGCGGGCTTGGGTTGTTTTAGGTTTAGGGTGAGAAAAACAAGGTTGCGGGGTGAAACAAGCAAGCTCGCGGGTGAAAAAAACAAGGCGGAGGGTGAAAAAAACAAGGCGGAGGGTGAAAAAAACAAGGCAGAGGGTGAAAAAAACAAGGTGAGGGGTTGAAAAGAAAGGATTTCTCAGGGTTGGAGGAACAAGGTTCCCGCAGACGGTTCCCAAGCAGGGTTTGAGGGTTGAAAAAAAAGGAAGGGTTAAAAAAAACAACTTCGGAGGGTGAAAAAAAAAGGGAGCCCTTTTAAGGGAAATAGATGGCCCTGGTAGATGTTTCAACCACCAGGTAAACCAGGGAAACCCATCTATTTGTCTGGCAAAGCAACCAAAACGGACACCTATGATCATAAGTTTCTCAAGTGGAGTCAGCGTGGTGCAAGAAGGCCATAATGTAGGTGCTTAACCACTTCGCTTGGCAAATGAAACGCCCAAGTACGTAGGTACATTGCGGACGTGGACACGATTTACCTGGGAGGAGACTTTGACCTCTGCCAAACAAATATTAACATGACCGGATTTCAAGTTGAGCAGCACCCGTTATACCCATTGCTGTTTGCTACTACCAACACGGGTAACAGATATCGGCACTACTATCATCCCTGCTAGACCGAGTAGAACCATCTAAAACGGCCAGTGGGGTTAAAGGACAAATGTATACGTCATGTACGAACCCTTTTTTCCCCGAGTTGATGGGGTTAGTCGTGGCTTTAGGGAAAATTAGCCCACCCTTAGGGTCCAAAATGACCATGGGCGCAAAAAACAAACTTAGTCAGCCTTTTAATCAAAGGGTACTTCGCCTGTGGTCCAAAAGATCCCAGAAAGGCAAGCGCTAGCTTCCATATGTCTAATGTGGGAACAGGAACTCCATCTTTGGCACTTCCCTGACCAAGTGGCTGCCGAAACACGTCTAATGTCTCACACGGACTTTTCGTTTCAGGGCGGAATCTTGATCTATAGCTGCAAAAATTGCTTGGCCCGCAGTTCCTCCAGTAACTAGGGCGGTGGGTGGAAAAGCCAAGCTCTCTCAAATGAAGCCCCCAAAACGACGTCTGCCCAACCCGGGCACGCGGCATTCCGGCGTTCAGCCGTTTTCTCACGGCTGAAAAGCGCCGGGCCCCCGGCAACGGTCGGATTTGAGTCTGCGATTTGTCAGCTTAAACATAGCTCACGTCCGATTCAGGTCGGCCACAATAAGTGACCAAACCGTTTGTTGGCCACTAAAATCCGTCATACCAAAAAGTGACAGCCAAGGAACTCAGGAAGTGAGATAAACCGTAACCCAACTGAGTCAGCAACTAAGTTATCGTTTTAACCTTCTCCCGCAACAAGTCTCAGAAGTTCTGTGATAGCGTGCTATGATCTCTCACGATCGATTCCTCTCAGGCTTGAGATGGAACCTGAACCCGGAGAAAGGGCAAGTACTTGATGCGATGCCAAGCATTTGGTTGGGTATTTCAGTTAGAGACAAACCACAAGCAAGCAACCTTAAAACTACCTCAGTGGGTCTGAGGCAGTACAGTAGGCAGGCAACTCAGTTCCCTTTGCTCGGTTGCTCAGATAGGACCTATGGTTAACCTTTTAGGACCATGACTAAACATGGGCCCCCACAAAAGGGGAAACTGAAAGTTGTCCGAGCCGGTCGACTCGCTTCGGTTGCAAGTGAATCTAGTTGTATATGTTCTGTATATCTTTGCTTAAGGTTACCCGCATTGGGCGGTTCTGAAGGGAAAGCCAAAGGACGAATCTGACGGCTGTGAACCACCAAGGGTACTATACCCTTCTCTTACCCCCCCCCCCCCCTTTAGTCCCCGGTCGCACGCTCGCCCATTCCAAGCGGTCGAGCGGGTTTTGCTTTGAAGCCAGGCGGCATGCTGGCCAAATAGAAACTCGAAGGCACCAGTGCTGCCCATTTCCTAAGGAAGAAGATTCTGGTTAATTGTAGTGGCTCTGCGTTTTTTGCTGGAGGGTACCCCTACTCGTTGTTGTTGTTTTGCTTTGCTGTGGGGGGAGGGGGTGCGGGGGTGGTTCAATTGAAACTTTGGGCCGATGTTTCTTTTCGTTTTGTTTATTCTTGCGGGGGGGAACCAGCAGGAAAACCACAATTTTAGGCCTCCAAGCAACTCGCAGGCACCGGTCTTTTCGCGTTTTCCTGGGTTTCCGGACGTTTTCTCGACAAAGGGATCCCTGAACAAAATGGGAAGGTAGTATTGTCGCTGCAAGTTTTGAAAGGGTTACCCCCGGTGTTCGGTTTGCAGCATCCTGAACAAAAAAGCAAGGGAACCAATTTCCCCCGGCCATCAAACCCTTTGCCAGGGCATATGATGTGTTTTTTCCCTTTGTTGGTGGGTTTTAAAGGAAAGTGAAAAGGACACCACCTACGAATCCCCGAGTGGAACAAACACTTTTTCTTTCTGCTTACCACTACCTGGAGTCTCCTTCTGACCGTTTAAACATGGTTGGTCATTACCCTAATGGAGTCATGGAGACTCCAAGCAAACTAAAACGCAGAAGCCCTCCCCCCAGAGTGTTTGCAGAGTCCACGGAACTCGGTCAGGAGTGTTTCCCTCGGCAGAAAAGAGGAGCTTCACCGCATTCGGTGCCACAAGCCGGGACAAATCTTTGGTGCTTCTTGAAGGCAGCCGGTCAAGATGCATCCTGAACCCTCAGAGCCTTAAAAAAGCCGAACCACCAACCATAATTTTAAGCACCTGGAGTCTCCCTAAATAACCCTTTAAAAATGGATGACCCTTTAACAATGGTTGGTTCTTACCCAAAAAACAAAGGGGTCATGGACCCACGTTTATTTCGGGTCAGAAGGAGACTGGACATCCCCAAGTCTAAAGTTGATCACAAAAAGGAAGTGGAGGAAGCCCTGCAATCACCCAGCTCTAGGGGTAGGTATTTCGGGTCCCCGTGTCCCCTTTGTGTTCCACCTGCTAAAGGTGTCAAACCTCAAATCACCCAAAAATATAACCAAGTCAACGCAAACCCTCCCCCAAAGCTCTGCGACAAAAACCGACTGACATTCACCAACCCTTTCTGTTCTTTCTCCCTCAACCCTTTTTTTCCTCTGTCTTCACCCGAAACCATCCTTCAAAGAATCTAACCCACCTTTCCAAATCTTGTCATGGTGGCAAACACTGGTTGCAGCCCGCTAAGAATGAAGATAACCGATTGCAACAAAACCAACGTTGCCAACAACGGTGAAGCCACCCAAAAACCCCCAGGACAAAAGAAACATAATAATAATAGTAATAATCATAATAAAAAATAATAATAATCGTAATAATACTAATAATAGTAAATACTGATAATGATAATAACAATAATAACAATCATAATAACAATAATACAATCAATGAATAATAATACTACTAATAATAATAAATGAAACAACACAAAATAATAATAATAATAATAATAATAATAATAATAATAATAATAATAATAATAATAGTAATAATAATAATAAGAATAATAATAACAATAAATAATAACAATAAATAATTTTACTACTAATCACAATAAATGATAGTAGTAATAACACTAACAGCAACATAAATAATAATACTACAAACTATATTAATAATAATAATACTAATAATAATAATAACAATAATAATAATGATACTAATAATAATACTAATAATACTAAATGAATAAACAATGAACACAACAAAACAAACGTGCACAGCACAATTTTCGACCGCAAGGTCTTCGCATCCTTCGCATCCAGCTGCTCCGGGAAGTGGTGGTGCTTGGTGACGAAGGCGAAGCCCCAGGCAGAGATGCTGGTGGAGCCAATCCTCGGAGAGAGATGGCTGTGGTTGTCAAGACTAATGGTACCATGTTGGGGTAGGTGCACCACCCAGTTTTGTTGGGGTAGGTGAATTCTCCACCCATTTTAGGTTTCCTATTTTGGTGGTTGGATTGGGATATGTTCACATGTTCATTGGGATGCTCATTGGGATGTTCCGCGTTTTGTTTTCAATTGGCTGTGGGTCAAAAAGAAGGTGCTCAAAATGGCTTGCCCTGGTAAATGGACACACAGACTAAAATATGCGAATCTGTGGTGGTTTAATTTTCACCCACAAATTGGTACCCCTGGTGAACATCAAAATAGCTGGCAAATGCATGTTCATCCACCCCAAGATGGGATGGCCATGGGTTATGGTTCATGGCCAGATTTGCGGAGTGTCCGTTCCGGCTGTCCAAAAGCCCAATGAACCCTCTGGAGCCAATCCTCGGTGATTTGTGGGGTCCCGTGAGGGTCGTCCAAGGGAGGGGAACCGCCTCAAACTCCCGGAATCGAGGGGCCAATAAGGGGCCAATAGGCTTCGTTTTGGGCAGGGTATAAAGAACAAAACGGGTTTTAACAAGCAAAAGAAACACGTATTTGGCAATCAAACAAGACTTGTTTAGCAATCAAAAACACTTTATTCACTCATCCAGGTGAACAGGGTGTGGCTCGCAAGGGCCAGAGAGGTGGACGAAAGGACGAAAGGACAAAGGTTCGAACGGGCCGCGAGACCAGGGGACAAGAATACCAGCACCTGAAGGCAGCGAAGGTCCAAGGGCAATGACTAATCACACAAGAACTAATTCTCGGTTGCTCTCTGCTCCCCTGCTAAAAGTTTAACGATTAGTGGTTTAATGGAGAACCCATTAGTTGGCAAAAAGTTAAAGGCCTAACGTCCAAGCAAACAAAAAGATTGGAACCAAAGGCCAAAGGACTAGGGGACCAAAGGAGGACCCAAAACACGAAAGGACCAAAACACCGGTGGATCAAAAAAACACGGGATGAAAAAACGAGATCCGGGGACCAAAGGACCAAGGGACTAAGGGTTCACGGGACAGGAGGACCAAAGGACGGCTGGTGTGTTGTTTTGTTGAGTTTGGGGAGTTTCAGGGTGGGTTCGTGGTGAGTTGAGGGTCGGTGGGAGCGGGCGAGTTGTAGGTTCGTAGGTTTAGACCAGCTTTCGGCAGGGGGTTGTTTACGGTCGTTAGGGCGGGTTTATGGGACCAGCCCCCCACCCCCCCAAACCAAGAGAAAACAAATAAAGACGCTAATGGAGAAAATGCGCGGTTACAAACAAGGATCCCAGGGCTTTGTTTGTTTTTGCTCCCTGTGCTTTGTTTCCTTTCGCTCCTGGTGCTAAAATGCTGTAGTTGACTGCATTTTCAAGCAACACGCGCTTGTTTTGCACCGGCACTGTTTGCTTCGGATTTGTTCAGGGTCAGTTGAGGGTGGATTTAGAGAGGGGGTCTAGTTTGGGTTTAGTGCTGGTTTAGGGTGGGGCTTTGGACTGGTTTTGGCTTTAGGGTGGTTCAGTGGGGGGTTAGGGTTGGCTTGTTTAGGGTTGGTTTAGGGTGGGCGTACTCGCTCAGGTTTTATTCTTGGGTTGGGTTAGGGTGGGTTTGAGGATTGGCTTGGGGTGGTTAAAGAGCGGGTGGAAGTTTAGGATTGGTTTGGGCAGGTTTCGAGTTGGAGAAACTGCTAAAGAATTAGACAAACATATACTGATATTAATGGAGAAAGTGCAAGAATACAGACAAGGATCACAAAGCTGAACAACGGCCCCAAAAAGAAGCGGGGGTTGAGGGGGGAGCAAACACATGAAGACACTCATGGGTGGGGGGGGCAATTAGAAGACACTGATGGAGACAGTGCGTGAGTACAAACAAAGGTCACAAAGACGAAAAACGGCCATTAAAAACAGAAGCGGGGCCACTAGAAAACAAATTGAGACACCCATGGAGACAGCATGAGTGAACTGATGAGTGAATAAATGAGTGAATGAGTGAATGAGTGAATCAGTGAATCAGTGAATCAGTGAATCAGTGAATCAGTGAATCAATGAATCAATGAATCAATGAATCAATGAATCAATGAATCAATGAATCAATGAATCAATGAATCAATGAATCAATGAATCAATGAATCAATCAATCAATCAATCAATCAATCAATCAATCAATCCAATCAATCAATCCAATCCAATCCAATCCAATCAATCAATCAATCAATCAATCAATCAATCAATCAATCAATCAATCAATCAATCAATCAATCAATCAATCAATCAATCAATCAATCAATCAATCAATCAACCAATCAATCAATCAAAGGAGCAAAAGTGCAAGCGTGCAAGGGTGCATGCGACCAAAGGACAAAAGGACCAACGGACCAAAGGCCCAGACCAAAGCACCCAACGGACCAAATTACCAAAGGACCAAAGGACCAAAGGACCAAAGGACCAAGAGACCAAAAGGCTCAGGGTACCAAGAGACCACAAGTCTACAAGCAAAAAGGGATTGTGGAAAGCTGTTTTTTGATTGCCAAGATAGTTTATTCTTGATGCCGCAAAGTTTTGTCGATTGCTCAACAGGTTTGTTTGATGGTCATCCCATTCGTTTTGGGGACCATTTCCAGGGGGTTTTATCTTTGGGGGGGGGGACATCACGCAAAAGAAAGCCAAAATCCAATAGCAAGGTGGTGTTTGTTATCACCACGGGGAGACAAAACTGGATGCTCTCTGGGCGTCTCGAAAACATGACACATACATCCCGTGTTCGTTTCGAAGAGTTGCCATTGAAGGTCACCCAGCTATCATCTGGGTATGAAATGTGGAAAACCTGATGGGAACAAATCACCTAAATCATGTCCACCTTCATGGTACCACACAAACACATCAGAGTCATACCCAGTTACGTGAGTGTCGCACCCGAAGTTCAGCTTTCGAGAGTCGTTCCCTTTACCCTAACCTTCAACCCCTCTTAAAAAGAATGGTTGACTCAAATTGGATGATGAAATTCCTTAGGCAAATGGGGGTTGATGAAAAGGGCCGTTACATGGGATAACCATTGGGGACAACCACTGAAAACATGAGCTTTCCCACATAGGGAAGTTACCCATGGTCAAAACTGGGGGCCAGAATATTGATCAACCCCAAATCATGGTGCATGGTTGTGTACAACGCCTTTGATGGTGTGATCACTGAACCCTTTTTTCCATCTGCTTTAGCTCCCCAGAAGCAATAAAATACTTCCGGTAGTGATAGCTTCCCTTTAAAACCAACAGGGGAAACTAAAATCATATTCATTTCAGCATCTGTTCTATATTTAGTCTCCCCTGAAAGAATATGATATAAGACTTGTAAGCTAAATTCGTTCCATATTTTATCCCCTTCCCTTTTTTCTTCAGGAAATGGAAGCCTTTCTCAGCTGTTCAGTGACCCTGGAAAAAAGGGCACCCTTTTTGGGGCTTGGACCATTTTTAGTGGGGCAGCCACTAAAGAATAAGTTGGACAAATACTTGGTGCCACTGAACAACTGAGCTTTGGCCGGTGTTTGGTTTTTCTTTCCGAGCCGCTGCGAGATCAGCGTAAAGGCCAGGCCGGCCTGCGGATGCCCCACCGCGTTTTGGTTGCCGGATCCCAATGGTACGACTCTTGGTGGCGAAATCTGCGAAGCCCTGCGAAAAGTGAATAACTTTTAATGGTTTAATACGGAAAACCCCATTAGTTGGCAAAAAGTTAAAGTCCTAACATCCTTTGGCAAAATGCACCAAAGTTCAGTCACCGCTGGCTTTTGGGGCTTTGAGTGGAAGAAAAAAATCGCAACTGGCGATCCAGGAGCCCGTTGGCCCAACCAAGTACCCAAACTATTTCAAGTTGCCACTTAAATGATTCAATCCCAGAAAGTTGAACGTCCAGGGACTCAGGAAGTGAGCATAGTCGCTATTCAGGATGTTGTCCTCTTCTCAGTTGACCAAAAGGACCCGGAAGTCAAAGGTTGAGCTCCTGGGGCGGGGTTTGATCTGGTTTGCCCTATCCGAGTATCCCATTGGACGGGTTTGGCATTCAAACCCCGCAGGTTGAAGATGGGTTGCGCGCCATCGATTTTTGCCCAAGCGGGGCGTACCGCTTTCAGATCCCCTGCCGAAAGTTTCATTTGTTGGAATCAAAACCCAACTACTAAGAGTACTGTGGATGGAAGAAATCCATTTCGCACCACGAAATGAAACCATGGTTGAAACCATAAGTTGTTGGTATTTACAGGAGAATCATCAGAAACCAGGGTTTCTTAGGTGGTGCAGGATTTTGTCCATCCACAGTATCACCTTTTGGGGGGTTATGTTTTGTCGCATGGACCAAGCAGGGGAACTCAAAATTGCAGATCCGGTTGAATCGCTTCGGGCGAGTGGGTAGTAGGTATCCAGGATGTCTACCTCTAGGTTTTACACTCTGGGTTAATCAATGGTCCACTCTTTGGGTTTGATGTGCTCTCGTCTTCCCTCAAGGACGTCCACAGCTAACGTCCAGGTCCACTTTTCACAAGTGCCTCCATTTGCTGAGAAGCCCTGAGGATAAATAACATGTCCAGTAGTGAGTCAGTAGTGATAGATTCCGCTTAAAACAACAGGCAAAATACACTTTTCCTTGAGATTCTGAGTCCTCCTTGACGAACTTAGGGCAAGCTACATGTGCTGCAAACATCCCTGCGACACTTACCATGCAAAAGTGCTAGCGCTTGAGGGCTGACCAAACCTCTAACAGCCAGCGGGAAGGAGGTCGCGAATCCTTCTCGGCTGACTTTCAAGGGACCAACGGACCAAAACGCCCCACTTGAACAAAAGAAACCAAAGGCCAACACACAAGTGGATTGGCTCAAGCGGAATCAGGTAATGCTCGAAACTGCATTTAAGACCTTCTTTTCTCCTTGACCCCTCTGCAAAAAGTGAATAACTGTTTGTAGGTTAAATACGGAAACCCCTTGTTTTTAACCAAAAAGTTAAAGTCTGAAGATCCGTTCCCAACTGCAATCAAGTTTTCCCTTTTGCTTTTCATAGATATTACTTGACCAAAAACTGTCCAGTGCGAGGTCCGGCCACCTTTTTTTTCTCCGTTCAACTGGACCCAAGCAAGCAACTTGAAACAATGATTGCAACCCAAAGGGTTTGCCATCTTTTTCTCACTTCTGTGGCCGGTTGCTTGCCACTGCGGTCTAAACCCAAAAAGTGACAAAAGTCTATTGGGGAATGAGCTGTTACAGGTGCAATCAGGGTGCAGGAGCATGTTCTGCTTCAGGATTGACATGAGTTCAGCCAACTTAGCAAAGTCATCACCAAGGATATAATTGTGGGGGTCACTGGGGTTAGCTCCTGTTTTATCGTGAGTTGAACCTAGCCACTAACGTTGACCCGTCAAACTCAAAACTGCTACGCAGGCCAGGGCACCCCTTCCTTCTCCGAAATTCCATTTTCCGCACAGCTTGCACATGCCTTAGCCACCAACAGGGACAATGTCCCACACTCCCACAAGCGCCAATTTCTGATAGCTGACAAGCCAACTTTTGCTTTGGGTGACACTATTTCACAAGCTGTGCCTGGTTCAGCCGTTTGGCCCTTGCTGCGCAAGCCTCTGCTGCGAAATAAAGCGGCTCAGGTAGCCGCTATTCCCACGCCTATACAAGAACCACATCAAAGCCCAGCCAGGCACAAGGAAGGCCACCATCGCCATCACAACGACCGTCTCGTTGTGTCGCGTGAGGAAGACATTGCCAGTCATATACGCGCCTGTGCCAAAAACCATCACTGGCATCTGGCAAAGTATCATGAGCGAGTTGGTCAAGACCTCGCCGCATCTGGACCTAGATTCATGGCGAAGGTGATAGGCCAAGAATTTCATCCACGAGACAAATACAGGACACATCAAAAGCGTAGAAAGCAAGAGATAGAGGAACACAGTCATCAGGAGCCAATTCGGATGAGGTACTCGGCAGGCGTGCTGCATCATATCGAATATACCCCACATTGATGGACATATCATAGCAACACTCCAAGCAACATTGAACGCATTAAGCTCAAGCTGCGCTGAAATCACATCCACAACTGTGGAACGAATGTAGCCTACAAAGTCATCTGTGCTGCCGAACCATATCGCAATGCATGCAGAAATGACTCGCTTATCACAGACACCACTGCGAGCACATGTGCCCGTGCTACAGCAGGTGCATTTTAGCTGAGCAACTTCTAAGGACAACAGCTGCCTTTGCATGACTTCTATAGAGCGATACAAGCCCCGCATGACGTGGCACATTGCATAAGTACCAGCAGTAACAGTCGCTACGAAGCCTGTAATATACCACGTATATGGAAATGCTGTTTGTGGATGGTAATGAATTGAAAGGACAACAACCAGAGGAATAAATCCAATTGTGGCCATTGCGTAAGCAGCAAACGAGACTGGCCCTGTCAGGGTTGGGTAAATGACCAGAGTCCTGTCTCGCTTCTCCTTGCTTTTCAGGAACGCTGCGATCTCGAACACACACCACAACCTTTCGGCAAAGGAAGCATCCCAAAGCACTAGCATGGATTCTGACTTATCCAAAATCCCGGCAAGGCTGAAAATAGCATCTCTCTTTAAATCTGGCGTTTCACTGATACAGATCCTGTCCAGGAAGACTGCTGTTGTACAACGCCAGCATGCCATGGTCAATATGGTGCCAGCGCCACCAAACACTGAGGACCAAACGGAAGTGCTCTCAATATGATGTTCTTTGGACAAATGCAAATCGAAGTGGACACCTGGCAAGACGTTCAAAAAGAAAAGCAGCATGCCAGTCAAGGCGCATGCGTTGCCGACCAAAACCGCTGCTAAGCCATTCTTCAGCACCAAGAGCGTCAAGCTTTTCGCCCAGGCATTCGAGTGCCAAGAATGGCTCCAGAATTCCTGGATCTTGTTCACCTCTCGGCTCTTGCCAAAGAAGTCCGTCCCTGTACTGCCTCTGAGAGCCGCCGAGCATGACTCGAAGGCGTGGTAGGCAGCGGTGGCCCGAGAACTTCAGGCCGTAAGACCTTCATCCTTGCCATAAAGCCAGCCATTTTCCTGAGCTCCTCATCCATCTCACCTGCACTGGGCGCACTGGAAGTCGAGCGTTCTCTGCCCACAACCAGCGACCCTACTGCAATTTCGTCTGGATCCGTCATTGTCCTGATACGCAGAAACCAGCGGAGAACCAAGTCAAGGCCAAGTGGGCTGAAACTCGGGCAGAATGCTGCGGGTCATGCACTAATGGCCTGGACACAGAAGTTATGATGTTGACTCCGCCTTCTGCAAGAACCTCTTCAACCAAGGAAGCAGGCACCTCTTGTGAGCGAAAGCAGATCTCTCCTGCACTCCTTGGCACTCTTTGGGGTAGGTTCCAAGTGGTTGGGCCCTGTGGACTTAGGTTGGGACTTATCTGCGTCAACCGAGAAAAACAAAAAACCAACGTGAAAACTGGTTCCATTTGGCTCTCTTTTCGCACTCGGGCTTTGCCCGAATTTCCAGAAGCTTCCGAGCGACTGCCTTTCGAGGCCCCTTGTGCCGTTGCAGCTTCTGAAGCTCTGAAAGTGAAGTGGGACAAAGGTGAGTCCCTGGGGTTCAAACAACCTTTCAAACAATGGGAGTTCATATAACCACCATTAATTACCTAAAGATTGTCATCATCTAAATTGGGTCAACCTTTGTTTTAATGGGGGTTGAACCCCAGGGTGAGTCACGTGCTCAAAACTCGAAATGGTCCTAAACCCAGAACCATGGGTCAAGAATTAAGAAGGCGGAGATCCGCCACTCTTTCCGGCTGCCCCTGACCAAGCTAACCATCAATCCCCGGTTTTTGAGCACGTGGCTAAGGTGCAGACGCCCAGGGCGTCTGAGGTTGACGCCATATTCGTTCATTCCGGGCCATATTCATTCACGCCGGGGTGTTCATAGGGTGGATGGTTGCGAAATCCGCTGCTCGCACCACGAAATGAAACCATGGTTGAAACCATAAGTTGTTGGTATTTGCAGGAGAATCATCAGAAACCAGGGTTTCTTAGGTGGTGCGAAATGGACTTTGTCCATCCACAGTAGGGTGGTTTGTGGCCCCAAAAGCGGTCTGATGCCCCAACAACCCCAGAAATGGGATTCACCCCCTATGAATAAACTGGGGTTTATCAATATGGGGTCTGCCGAAACCCGGGACACCTCCTAGGACGGTGGGTCAGATGGAATCGACGAGAAAGAAACCCAAACGTAGTCTTCGCCCCGCTGTGCCCCAGCGACGCAGTCAGGCCCAGCGACGCAGTCAGGGCGCCATGGCTAGTGTCATGTTACAGGGGACTAGTAACCCGCTCTAAAGCGACGCAGGAGACACCGCCCAAAAAAGCAAAATCTGGGGTTTGTTAATATGGGGTCAACACCAGGAACTTTGCCCCTGTCAGTTTCAGCCAATTGGCCCCAGATCTCTGTTCCCTGCCAAAGCCGAAACCTGACCCAAGCCCAGCTCGAGCTCGAGTGTGCACTTGCGTGAGTCAAGCGAGGGGTGGTGGGCGGCGGGCTGGCGCGTAGATTCTACAAAAAAAACATGAAGCTTTAGTGGCCTTTCGGGGCCTTTCGGGTTGGGTATCGGAACACGGAGGTGGGTCCTCGAAACTCGAAAAAAGGTCCAGTTGGCAGATGTTTGCATTGCCCCTGGGTTGGGTAACCCTCAAAGCTCTTGGAAACAGTCGGCCCAAGAGGTCAATTCGAGCGAGGCCTTGACCACGCGCGAAGGCACAGCGGCCGCCTGGGTCAAATGGGTTCTCAACATAGAAGCCCCGCATTGCCCCGCAAATGGGTTCTCACCTGGACCGTCCAACTACCTTTAGAAAAAAACTCGGGTGATATCCCCAACAGCATGCGGTGCTCTTTTTAGTGCTCGCACCACCCCGCAGCCTTCATAGAACCTGGTGGAACCCTCGTGGAACCCTGGTGGAACCCTGGTGAAACCCCTGTGGAACCCTACCTCTGGGCAGCCCCGGACCACCCGGAGCCTATCTGGGCTGAGACCCCAATCTTTCATCTGTTGGGGAACAAGTTTGAAAAAGGCGGGGGGAAGAAAAACAACATTCTGAGCAACTCGTTTTCCGGGGTAGCAAGGAGGTGAGGTTTCCTGCTGTATGCCACCGGAAAACCGGTAACCCAAATCCCCCCACAGCATTCCCTAGGACTCCCCGGGGCGCTGTCGAACATCTTCCGCGCTTCATGTCCCACGCTCGTTCAAAGCAGCTCGCTGGGTAACCATTACGATTTTGGGACACTAGCCCCAGTCCCCCAGTTTCACCTGCAGCGGCCCAGGCTAAAACCTGCAGTAGTCTTTCCACTGCTACTCCCTTCCTGAGTGGATTGGCAAAAAAGACGTCCGAACTCTGATTGGCCACTAAAATGGTCTTTCCCCCCAAAACAAAAGACATAAACAGTCCATGAACTCAGGGAGTGAGACTAGGTCCTCCAGTAGTTTGAGGTTAGAATAAGTTGGTACCTACTTTTTATCTGTAGTCTATTTTAGTAGGGGAACCGAATCTCCCAACCAAAAAAGAATGGGTAAAGGGCACCTAGCCGGGGGACCTAAACTGGTCTTTCCAAAAAAGTTTGAGGTCCATGAAATCAGGGAGTGAGACTAAGGTGGTTTCCCTCTCGCCCACTAACATGGCAACTCACAGGGGGTCCCTCCAAGAGGAAACTGGTCTTCCAAGCGCCCTCCGACTGCCATGTGGACATGGGGGATTTGCCTGGCACCATTTCCCTGCATCCCTGCTAGTTGGTTTCCCTGACTAAGGTGGTTCAAGCTCCAAGTCAGGAAACTCCATGCCCCCCACCTGCTCCACGCCCTTGGCCTCCGAAGCCGACGCCAGGCCCCCCTGGCGTCGTTGGGCGTGGGGGGCCCGACAAACCACGGGAATGTGGACCCCATTTCCTCCACGTGCTGAGAAGCCCCCTGGAAAACAATATACATGTTTTTTCTATATTTCCAGTTGTGAAATCGATTCCCTGTAAAACCAACAGGGGGAAAACATCTTAACCAGATGGAAGATATCAATCAAGTCCAGTTGAGGGTCAAGGTAGGTGTCTTCAGGACTGCGTATCCACTTTGAAACGACCCAAATAACCTGGCGAAGAGTTACCTGGCCTGGCAAAACGCCTGGGATGCACTGGATGCTTCCGAAACACCAGTGGATTCCACTCTCTTTTGGAAGTCTCTCGAACCTGAGCGGTCCAATCCGCTCAAAGTGAAACTTTCAGTGGGCTCGATGGAAAACCAACCCCTAAACAGCCGAAACACTAAAGAGCTACAAAGCCAAGGAACCGGACTGGCTTCGCCACGCAAGAGTGCATTTCTGTGACAAGTGGGTCATCCTGATATCCAGAGAGCTGATTAGCTTGTCTCATTGAGTGGAGCCAACAAGCAGTAACCACTTTTGTCTACCACCCCACTTCATGAGTGGATCAGTCTTTGGTCCAAGCCCGATATGTGACTAGATTCCGAAACGGAACTCACCGAGTGGCGTGTCTGCCTGAGCAACCCAAGGCTCCCCCCAAACACTTTGAAAGGAACCTTCTTGTGTCTTAAAATCAGGGAACCACGTCGAAATGGCTGGTTTCCATTTGGGTGTCTTCCTTTTTGGTGGTGTTACTTTTGGGCTTGGTTTAAAGGGAAGCAACAAGTAAACCACCCATCTTGTGGGTTCCCGTATTCTAAGACAAACGGTGTCCATTCAAACCAATGCCAAACCCGGTGCCCTCAAAAAGATAAACTGGGTTTTCTAAAAAAAATGGCCCTCCTTTCAGAACCTCTGGGTGAGTCAGTGGGGGGGGGGGGTGCTAATGTCCGTGCTGCTTTCCACATCAGAATGCGAAAGGGATCAACGCCCTGTGGATGGACGAAATCCGTTCGCACCAAATTGAAACTCTTGGAAGGTAACAATCGGAAGCCGATACTCTACTTTGCCTTGATTTACCGCATGTTTGAGCTCTGGTTTTTTGGTACGGTTGGACCCTCAAACTACCCCTTGTAAAAGGGAATCCACCAACCATATTTTTTGGGCATCCCATAGAGTATTTCTTGTGGGTCCAGGTCCAGGTGGTTGGTTCACTTACTTTACTTGCAACATGGGCTTGTCTCAAAATCGAAACCACCCACCAGAAACTTCCTGGATCGCCAGTTGCTGTTTTTTGTCCATGCACTTTACAGCAAGAACCGACATCGCAACAGCGACTGAAGAAAAAAAACGATCGCAACTTGCCCATCTTCGTTGTGGATTGTCCTTTGTTTCCAAATCGAACCCACCCACCCAGGAAACTTGCGGATTTTTTCGTCCCCGCGGATTTTCCGGATAGACGCCATGGATGGATCGAGCCCTCTCGAGTGTCCGATGCCTCGGCTCCCTCGGGGTTCCGGATCTTCTGCTTCCAATCCGTCGGCTTCCCGAGGCCTCGATCTCGCGGCTTCCGAGGACGCTCCGAGGCTCCGCGGCCGCGTCTTCCGAGGGCGGGTGTTCTTTTTGCGCCCCTCAGGAAAAACAAACAAAGATCCTCATTTTGGAGGGGCCACTGAATTTCCCCAAATCAAAAGTTGATCAAGTTCAAGGCTTCCATTCAAACGATCGCCACTTGAGGTTGCCTTTAAAGCGACATGCCTCGGAAACCCTACCCAATTTTTAAAGGTTACCCCTTGTTTGTGGCTTCTAAAGGGAAAGCAACAAAGAAATCATCATTCCTGCACATCTCCAACTTAGAACCACAAAACACAAACACACGCACCGTCAGACGTGGAATCTTTTGCGGTCTGGCTCAAACTTTTGAGCCATCAGCTATTGAGCCCTTAGGCCGGGGCGTATCAACTTGGCTGCAGGAAAATTCTGCGCCCTCGAAACAGCCCGCCCCTATGTCCATGAATTTCTCAGCTTGGGCGGCTGTTGCTTTCCGCCTAAAACCAGGAGCCATTTTTGGAAGAAGCATCTTTTTGTGGGTGTCTCCGTGACATAGGGGACCTTTTTCGTTGACCCTTTGGTTTCCCTTCAAACCCCCACCCGCCAAAAGAAAAAAAAGAGACCCTCTTGGCTTTCTCTCGCCTCGGGGCCTCGCTCGAAAAAGAAAACAAAAAAAAAGGTCGAGTGGCAGGCGCGGCGTCGCACCACCACCATGGCGATGCAGAGGTCCAGCGTGGCAAGGAGGTCCCAGGAGTGGCGGTGCGCCCAGACTGCGACGAAGGGGGCCACCATACCTCGAATGGATGGATGGGAGAAATGGGGTGGGAATGTTGCTGAGACGTCCCCTGGAAAAGAAAAGACATATTGCCAGCAGTTGTAGATCTCCTTAAAAACCAACAGGGGAAAAAATATTAAGCAAATGGAAGCAAATGACTCTACCTCGAATCTCCAATGGATCGATCGGAAAAATGGGGGGGGGGGTGGGGAGATTTGTTTGAAGGGTTCGAAATGACTCCCTGGAGTCTCCATGACCCTTTAAAAATTGTTGGTCATTACCCCCAAAATAAAGGGGTCATGGACCCATTTCTGAAGGGTCATGGAGACTCCAGGTCTTTGATACATATCATGTTTAGGTGGGGATTTATGTGCACCAACAACTTTCGTACCTATATCGAACACCATTCTAGCTGTACCCTCCCATTCTCTTCAGGGATCCTTCTTTTCATCAGAGGGCCAAACCCTGGAAAATAGGTAGTTTTTCAAGAAAATGATGGTAACAAGAATGGGGAATCAACCTTAGAATCATAGCCACGTAGGCGAGTCTTAAGATAAGCTCCCCAACTGTTTCCGCTTTAGTTGCTTTTTGAAACCCCTCCTAAGAGGCGCCTTCAAAAACATATATATATATATATATATATTTATAGCCCGTGTCTACGTGGATTGCGAGGGGTGGTTCCCCAAAACAAAGGTCCCCTGAAATGGTTGTTTGTTCCCTCTTTCCCTTCAAACAAACATGGTTTTCCTTTTTGGTGTCCCTTGGAACCCACAAAAAAAAGGTACCAACTCCGCAAAAAGCCAGCCCCCATTTCGCAAGATCGTCTCCCAAAGTTAAATGAGCGGATGGTGTCTTCAAGGACACCTCAAAAATGGGGGTCTCCTGTTGTCTTTGCTTTATATTCTCGGGCGACCTTCCCCGTTCTTCGCAGGGATCCTTCTTTTCAGGAAACCATCAAACACCCTGGGAAACAGCTGGTTTTTGAAAAGAACGATGGTTGAAAAGAATGGACAAGGAATCAACCCCTAAATATACACATCTCCTTGGGTGCCCCAAAAAAAGAGGAAGCCGCCGCATCCAACAACTCCACTCCGCCGGTCGAGACGTCGAGAGGCCGCCGATGCCGTAGCAGAGGTCGTACTTGGAGAGGGCGGAGCCGCTGGAGGACTTCAACAAGCGACCCACCAGCCTACGACACGCTGCTCGCGTCGCCAAGTGCTGAGATTCACCCGGGTTATAACCTACTTGTGGCGGGCTTAACCCAGTCCTTTGTGGGTGAACCCAGATTTATTTGCCCCTGTTGGTTATAAAGGGGATGTGTCACTTTTGAACATTTGCTTTACATTTGCTTTGCATTTACTTCCAAACCAAGTTAGAAAGTGGCTTTTATTTCCCCCTCTTGGTTATAAAGGGGATGTGTCACTATTGAACATAGTATTTCATTGTTCCAGAGGACTTAAGCAAATGGAGGTCAACATAATCTGCGAAGGGGGATAAGTGCTGTACAATAGCTTCCAACCCCAATGGCCTTGTTCCGGCATCAGCCCAAAGAATAAAGGGTTAAGGCGGTTAAGGCCTCTGAGTGTTCGAAACGAGAAGCAGACGAGAGACGAGAAGACCTCGTCCTCATGGGGGGCTGGGCGGGGAGCGAGGGGGGGGGGAAGAGGGGCCAATAAGGGAGACCTCGTGCTTAAGCAATATGAACAGTAGCCATAGATTCCCTTTAAAACCAACAGGGAAAGCAAATACGGACCATAGATTCATACCTGGACCCTCAGACCGTACAAAAAGGGGCCATTGCTCCAAGATTGTGGTTGATGCTTTTCCGTTTGAGGAAGAAAGGGGGAACCATCCAATCATTTTGAGTTGCAACAACCAATTTTTAAGGGTTTGTTCGGGTCCAGACAGACGAAAATGCAAGAAACCTCACATGGAGAGATGCAAATGGCCCGATGGAACAAACAGTTCAACCTCCGGGTCCCCTGCAGCTAACCACGGGCATATACTCACTTCCCATCGAGATTGGCCAAAAAGAGAAACCAACTTTTGGTTTACCACTAAAATGGTCCAAGCCCAAGTGACTAAAGTCCAAGTAACCCAGGGAGAAAGTCCAAGTCCAAGTGACTAAGTCCAAGTCCAAGTAACCCAGGGACTGACTATACTGACCTCGGATCCAAGAAGCTGCCCCTCCAAAAATGGGTGGGAGCCCGCTGATTCCCATGAACTGAGGTTGTCCGTTTTAAGATCCCCTGCTAAAAGTTTTTAACTCTTCGTGGGGGTCAAGTGGAAAATTCCCCGCGAAACCCCGCTAAAAACTGCGCGAATCCCCGCGAAACCCCCAAACCGTAACCCTTTTGCTTGGAAATGGCGCCACAGAGGCTAGAATCTTCCCCCCCCTATGTCGGATTGCCTTTGAACAGCGACAAAATCATCTTGAGAGCCTAGGTTGGAGGGCTCTCAAAATTGCTTTTGGGCCCTTAGACCTCTGGGGATGCAAAATAACTAAAGGGATGGCTGGGAAGAGCCAAGAGTACACCGAGTGTGCACCGAGTGTTTCACTTTTGCCCCGCCAACCAAAACTCATGTGCCTGAGTCCGGTCACTGTTTAGGGAAGCTTGAAATCTAAACAAAAAAGACATCACAGGCTCAGCTGCTTCTATCGTTTGCCCCAATTGTAACAATTGATATAATTTACTTAACGTTGACCCCAGACGCATCAACCGTCTGGCAATGAAAAGGTATGAAAGTGCATCATTTGATCTTCCGGGTACCCTCGCGCAGGTGCCTTCTATTTGTGGGAGGAAGGGTAAGCAAACTTTTCTCCTGGCAATGAAAGCATCGATACCCTCCATTTGCGATAGGTTCCCTGTAAAACAAACAGGGAGAAAAAAAGATCCTCCAGTAGAGAGGTTAGAATAAGGGTACCCTTTTTTCTGTGGTGTATTTTAGTACGGGAACGTTGCCCCCAAAAAGAAACGGTAACAGTTGGCACCAATCGCTGGGGGAGCAATCGCTACGTTAGCAAGCGGAAGATAGCCGAAAGACCAACTTACCCCTTAAAACTCCAAGCCCTGGGGAAGTTAATCTTTTACAGACATATAGCCCATGTTACCCCCAAAAAGTTGCAAAAGTTGTGTTTTTAAGAGGTAAGCCAACTGAGGGGCATGATGTTGAAGGTGTCCAGCACAGACATCGCCGCGCCGATGCTCCCGAAGGCGAGGCAAAGGCCCTCAGCCATAGCACGCTTCCGGTTTCACCCATCCGTGGGTTTGTCACCGTCAGAATCTCTCCTGAGTGGGTGGGTCAGAAAAAGTAGATACATACTACCCCCAGGGGCGGAATAGGATATACAGCACCTACATAGCCACAATCATAGGTGTCCTTTTAGGGCAAATAGATGGCCCTGGTAGATGATTAAACCGCCAGGTAAAGCAGGGCCATCTATTTGCTACCGAAACAACCAAAAAGGACACCTATGAGCATAATCTCACTTCCTGAGTGGGCCGGCCAAAAAAAAGTCCACACTTTTTGTTTACCACTAAAGTGGTCTGTCCAAACAGCTTCAAGTGCTGGAACTCAGGAAGTGAGTAATCCCAAAGATCCAGGGACGGACGATATCTGCACCTAAGGAACCTGCAAATGCCCATAAGCTAATGTTGACCCGGGATCAATAAACCCGTCCCATTATTACGGGGGGGGGGGGGTTCCCTCCAAAAGTGGTCTGAATCCCCACTAAAAAGGGACACCCCCCTACTAATCAACCGGAAGTTTATCAGTCCGGGGTTAACATCATGCGTTTCAACCATGGTTGCTTAGTAAGGCGAAATGGACTTCGCCCCTCAGTGCAGGAACCGAACCACCTACTCAAATGTGCTTGACACGTTTCTGTGGGTCCCCCGAGTCCGAAAAGGGATTCGCGTGAGGCCAGCGCTGCCAAGTAAGACACTTAGTTGGGTCTTGGGAGTCTTTGAGCTAAGCAGCAGCCGCACTGAAAAGACAAAGATGAATCTGCATATGGCGAGCTCACCTCGTAAAAAGAGCTCACCATAGCAAAGATCCTGTACTTGGAGATCCGATTCTGATTCTTATTTCAGGTTTGCGGCTTTGTACGCTGCATGCACGGCTGAGTTACGTTACGTTTATTCATACATGCCCTCTCTCCCACTCACATAGCAACTGTTCGAGGGAAGATCAATTGCCATGACAGATGCCATGTTCGTGGAAGGGAGGGTATCTATTATCATTTTAACACATTCAAATGCAACGAAACATCACCTTATGTGGACCCCTTTGAGGACCCCTTGTGCAGCCCTAAGAAATAGCAGTGGTATTTGACAAATGGTCCTCTCACATCATTGGTCAGCCAATCATCATGGCTAAGGGAACACAAGACCTAGAAAAACCAAAACTCATTGAGGTCCATTCAAAACAAAGCGGGGTCATTGGACTACCATCCCCAAACACGCTCCAGGTGTATTGTTTGTGGTTATCTCCAAAAAACACTTTGTGAGATGCTCCAGAGGTGTCTCAACATAGGGAACACCCAAACTGTGGTTGCTCTTTTGAGAAACGATTGAAACCACCATACAAAAAGGGGGTGTTGGGGGCGTTTGGCCAAGACAGCAAGTTGTTGCTAACCTAGCTTACCCACCTTTGAGTACCCTGTGAATGCAGCTTTAACCTTGTCAGGGGGTTATAACCCAAGCTGCAAGATCCACTTCCTAACTTCGAACATCGAAGTCCATGGACGCACCCGTATAATATAAATCACCCGCAAAAATGACCTCGGGATCCAAAAAGTTTCCACATTTTGAGGGCGGATCCAAGAAAAACAAAAGAGGCGGAACAAATAGGTGAGACCCAACAAATCGGTGAGACCCAACAAATGGGTTGGAAAGCACTTCCGAAATAGAGAAACCCCAGCGAAAATTGGTGCCTCATCCTCTTGGAGGGTACCCAATGCTTTTGGTGGGTTTTCAAATTTAAACCAATCGGAAAACCTTTGGAGGGTACCCCAGATTCTTGGGTGGGATTAAATAAACCAACAGGACAACCACAGGAAAACCGTCATGTTGTAGGGTCCGGGTCCAAACAAAACCACCCTCAAATGGTGGTTTTCGACTTGATTCCGCTATCAAAATCCTCATGATGGTAAGTAGAAACAAGCGCAATGTCTAGTTCGATGTTCCGTCCCCAGACCCTGGCTCCGGATTTGAGGAATGGATCCCCATGTCCGCCGAGCCGCGATCGCGCCGTTCAAACGTGGCACCAGCCATACGCAGATCGCCTGTCGCACATGAGTCAAAAGCCTGGGGTCAAAATGATCGAAACGACCTTCAAACTACCCGTTAAGGGAACACATCGAAACATGTGGGGGCATTTTTGGGGAACGGGTGAAGTTAAACCCCAGCTTATTCATAAGGGGGTGCTTTTCCTTAATTTGGTGGGGATTCACGACTATGGGAAGGGTCCCCACCGTGAATAGGACGCGTTTCATCTGGGGTCAACATTACATTCGAGGTTCTCCAGTAGAGAGGCTAGAATAAGGCTACCAATTTGTTTCTGTCTTTTAGTAGGAGAACCCTCCCCCAAAAAAGAAACGGTAAAAGGGTACCTAGCTGGGGGACCAAGCATTGAGTTTGAGGGTTCTTGGTACACATCCAAGCTTAGAGACTGGGTGCGCCTTGAGCACTGTAGCCAGTTCAATGTACCCTTGCCACGAGTGATCCACACAGAATAGAAAGAATTGAATTGCAGATATTCGCGCCTATTTATGGATGCTACTGTCCCTTGCTAACCTTCATTTACCCGAGTTGTTAGAAACGGGTTCGTGTCGAAATGACGGTGTTGAAATAGAGTCATTTTGGCGGGTTTCCCCTTGGTTTCCCTTTAAACAACCTGAGAAGGTTAGCCTCAAAAACACACACGCAGACATACCACATGGGGGGATTACTTGTTCCCCGAAAACGAACATCAAATTAGGAGTACGGTTGTCTGTTGAGTGGGAAAACACACATGTCCCCAAAAGTTAGAGGTTCAACCTATTCAACGCAATTGCAGCCAAGATTCGGGGGGAGGGGGGTTGCAGGTACGCCTCAAAATCTGCGCCTCAGCTCGCCAAAGCCCGCCACAAAATCTGCACCTCAGCTTGCCAAAGCGCTGCGCCTGCCACAAAATGTGCGCTCGACCTTGCGAAAGTCCTGCGCCTGCCACGAAATCCGCATCCCGGGCTCGCGAAAGTGCCGCACCTGCCACGCAATCTAAACCTCGCGAAGCCTTCGCGTTGCCGCTTCATGCGGGCCGGGCGCCGAACCCGCGCCGCAGCCGCACCGCGCCCGCGTCAAAGTCGAGACAAAGGCGGCTGACATCGACGCGGGCCCGCGAAACCTTCGCGTTCCCACTACAGTGGGCCGGGCGCCGAACCCACGCGCGCCGCACCCACGCCGCGCCCACGCTAAAAGGTCTCCCACCACACGCTTACGCATGTTTTCTCGCACGCGTTCATTGTTTCTGCATCTTATCTGCGCGCAAAACTCTCTGCACACGCCTTCTCTTTGCGCGCGCTATCTGATCTTGTAAAGCTATCTGCTAGAGCTATCTTGTCGTGCGCGCTATCTGCTCTCTCTATCTACGCAAGCTAACTTTCCAAAGGTTTCTGTGCCACGGAAGTTCCTTCTAAGCTGCATTTGATAATGCACATACGAATGATTTCATCCCAGCCTGGGTCCAAAAACCCATGATTGAAAAATACAGCGCCGCAATACCTGGAAACTCCTTCCGGCCATAATTTCAGCCGCGAGCTCAAAAAGGCGAGTTTTTGCGTCCGCCAGCGAAAATTGTGATCTCCCAAAAATCGCGCGGCGGTTTTGATGTTCCGGCGGCGTTTTCATACGCGGCCTTAAAGAGCATTGCTGCCACGGCCTTTGCTTTCACCCATGAGCACGCACTAATTTGACAAGCGTTGATTGCACAAACCGCCGTTTGTCATTTTCTTCAAAAATGCAGCCACAAAGCAGCCTTTTGCAACTTGTAGCCACTGCACCTGCGCATGCCTACCGCCAATCTCTTCAATCAGGGCATGACGCAGTCCGGGTGTATGAATTATGTTTGTTCGCTGCGTGCCCTCTTTGTCTCCACTGCTTCTGGCTTCAAAGGAGCTGGTTGCCCCAAAGTGCAGGAATCATTTTTTGCCTGCGTGCACAGGTTTATTAGACGGTAATTATTGTATTTTGTTGTTGTTTCGGGCTAGGGCGCAAACACGCGGGATTACGGCGGAAACACGCGGGATACCGGCGCCCAACCAATGGACGTTGTCAGGGCCTTTGATTGTGTTGCTTGATCTCCTTACCTTCGATTCGTGCTGTTATTAGCATCACTGTGCAAAGCAAGTCTGGTCACAAATGCATTGCCGGCGGAAATCATGATGCAGTTGGCTATGTAGTTAGTTGCCGGCACCGACAATGCCAAAGCTCGTCTATTGATGTGCAATGTTTTGCATTTCTGGCCTACGCATTATTCTCTGGATGGGTGGGGTCGTTGCTGCGTGCCCAGCTTCATAACTTTCAGCAGCGTTTGTGAGCAAGCCGAAGACATGCCAGTTGGTTTTGCGTTGTGGGCGCAAGTGCTTGGTTGAGTTTATGATGTGTTAGGGCTTTACAGCTGTTTTCTGCTGCGGGAGCTGTCTAGCCCAGGACCATCAACTGAACGCTCTCCAAGCACAGCTGATGACAGGCAACACACACCCCGCCCTGGCTCAACAGGTGCCTCAAGCAAATTCCTTGGGCCAAACTTCAAGGCTTCAGGGTTTTGGGTCCTCCAGCAATATCAGCAACTCGATCCAAACAAACAACCTTCGAACCAGTTGGACCGGTCCATCCGGGGAGGGGCTGGGGCGTGACAGGGTTTGTCGCCGGCGTTTTTCAAAGCTGCCGGCGATTTTTCTATTTGCGGCTAAAGTTCTTGCTGAACGCAAAACGGCTAAAATTTTGGCCGGACGGAGGTTCCAGGTATTTTGAACACAATCAAGCAAAAACATGTCATTCATCGTGCTCACGCTCATCCATCCCAAAATTGGCTGTAGACCTTCGCCAACAGCAACCGAGTCTCTTCTACCATTCAGATTCTTGTGTTGGTGCTTCGGCATCCTTAATGCCATGTTTTTAGTAAATCGCATTGATAACTACTGGGATAGGGTCGTACTTATAACTTGAGTTATAAGTTACTACAAGTGGACTTATAACGTGGGACAAGTGGACTTATAAGTTTGCTAAGTCCGAGGATAGTTATAAGTTACTTGTCTATGTTTAACTTAGATAGGCCCACTTAAGTTCGAGCTAAGTTCCGGGTGCCGGGACTTAGAATGAACTTAGCTGGGACTTAGCTTTTTAGCACCATTTGAGGAAAACAGCCTTCGGTCATTCAGCGCTTGCGAAGCAATGTCCCAAACGCGTCTACCTCGCTGAGTCTACGTGTCTGCCTGCGTGCGAAAAAGCACGCGTGCGCTACCCCTGACATGTTGCGGACCACATCGCTGAACGAGAGAGAAAGCCTGACACCGGACTACGCGCGCGCGCATCATTTTTCGAGACGTACGGTCGCTCCCGGCTAGACCGCGCAGGGCGGAACACGGCGTAGCGGCGGCGGGGCCGCTTCCATGTTTGGAAAACACATCGCGGCAGGACCGCGCAGCGACCATCGCGGCAGGACCGCGCAGTGAGCCATCGCGGCAGGACCGCGCAGCGAGCCATCGCGGCAGGACCGCGCAGCGACCATCGCGGCAGGACCGCGCAGCGACCATCGCGGCAGGACCGCGCAGCGACCATCGCGGCAGGACCGCGCAGCGACCATCGCGGCAGGACCGCGCAACGACCGTCGCGGCAGGACCGCGCAGCGACCATCGCGGCAGGACCGCGCAGTGAGCCATCGCGGCAGGACCGCGCAGTGAGCCATCGCGCATGCAGTTTACGCTGTTTGTTCGCGCTGCTTCGCACGCTTGGCTCGATGGAGCCGGAGCATTTTTTGCACTGATTGACTCGGTTTAATTTTGTTGTCCAATAATCGTTTCTATAGCGGTGTCTCCGCTGGCGGCCGGTCCGCCTTCATATAGTCGCATGGGGTGGTTTCTCCGCCGGCGGCCGGTCCGCCCATTTTGCTTTTCTCGTTTGATGATATATCATTGTAGCGGTGGTTCCGCTGGCGGCCGGTCCGCCAAGCTTTTTTTGCCACGTTCATTTTCATTTCGAGATGGCACTTGAAGCGGTTGTCCGCTGGCGGCTGGTCCGCCCAGGAATTGTTCGGCGTGATTTTTATTTCGAGATGGCACTTGAAGCGGTGGTCTGATGGCACCTTGCGATTTTTTGCATGTTTGGATTGTGAGTGCGCGGGTGAAAGGCTGCAAGACTCAATCAAGGCTCCAGAATCCAGACTGCTGACTGCAAACTCCACACTCCAGACTGCAGACTCCAGACTGCAGACTCCAAACTGCAGACTCCAGACTGCAAACTCCAGACTCCAGACTGCAAACTCCAGACTGCAGACTCCAGACTGCAGACTCCAGACTGCAGACTCGAGATTCCAGATTCCAGACACAATGACTCCTGGCTCCAGGATCCTGATCATTTTGTGGTGGAATTCGGCCACGGGGCCAAGTTAAGTTATGTTAAGTCGTGGTGACGCAACTGGGCCTCACGGGGAAAGTTTGGCAGTTAAGTTGATTGAGTTACAATAGGGACTCCACGGCTCCACACGACCCGCCCAGGTTAAGTTAAGTTAAGTTTTGTTAAGTTCGAAAAAACTGCACCGGCCTTTCCGGGCTTTGGGGCGGGGCTGTCTGGATGCTGGATTCTGGGGTCTGGACTGTGAATTCTGGAGTCAGGAGTCTGGATTCTGGAGTCAGGAGTCTGCAGTCTGGAGTCTGCAGTCTGGAGTCTGCAGTCTGGAGTCTGCAGCCTGGATCTGCAGTCTGGAGTCTGGAGTCTGCAGTCTGGAGTCTGGAGTCTGGAGTCTCCAGTCTGTCTGTGGAGTTTGCATTCTGGAGCCTGGAGTCTGCAGTCTTGATTCTGGAGTTGGCAGTCTGGATCTGCATCGGGAGTCTGGAGCTTGCAGTCTGGAGTCTGCAGTCTGGAGTCTGCAGTCTGCAGTCTGGAGTCCGCAGTCTGGAGTCTGCAGTCTGGAGTCTGGAGTTTGCAGTCTGAAGTCTGCAGTCTGGAGTCTGCAGTCTGGAGTTTGGAGTTCGCAGTCCGGAGTCTGCAGTTTGGAGTCTGCAGTCTGGAGTCTGCAGTCTGGAGTCTGCAGCCTGGAGTCTGCAGTCTGGAGTCTGCAGTCTGGAGTCTGGAGTTTGCAGTCTGGAGTCTGCAGTTTGGAGTCTGCAGTCTGGAGTCTGCAGTCTGGAGTGTGGAGTTTGCAGTCAGCAGTCTGGATTCTGGAGCCTTGATTGAGTCTTGCAGCCTTTCATCCGCGCACTCACAATCCAAACATGCAAAAAATCGCAAGGTGCCATCAGACCACCGCTTCAAGTGCCATCTCGAAATAAAAATCACGCCGAACAATTCCTGGGCGGACCAGCCGCCAGCGGACAACCGCTTCAAGTGCCATCTCGAAATGAAAATGAACGTGGCAAAAAAAGCTTGGCGGACCGGCCGCCAGCGGAACCACCGCTACAATGATATATCATCAAACGAGAAAAGCAAAATGGGCGGACCGGCCGCCGGCGGAGAAACCACCCCATGCGACTATATGAAGGCGGACCGGCCGCCAGCGGAGACACTATATAGAAACGATTATCGCACAACAAAATTAAACCGAGTCAATCAGTGCAAAAAATGCTCCGGCTCCATCGAGCCAAGCGTGCGAAGCAGCGCGAACAAACAGCGTAAACTGCATGCGCGCGCGCACGCCTGCCCTGCTGCGTTGAGTCACACGAAAATGTGTGATTTCCAGCGCGTAATGCTTCATCACTGCCATGCTTCAAAACGCATGTGTTTGCAAACTCAATGAACTTAGAATGAACTTAGCGGACTTAGAAAAATATCTTTTCTAAGTTCAAGATAAGTTACTTATAAGTCCAAGCTAAGTGCTAAGTCACTTATATCTCCAGCGTAAGTACGACCCTATCCCAGTGTGTCATCCAAATTTGTTGGCATTTGGTGATTTCATTGAAGAAAATTGTGGAAAAGCAAAGTAGAAAACAAAACAACCATAAACTTATTTTCGTTATTGCTGCTTGATTTTTTTTAATTTTGCCTGCTCTCGCTAAACGGCGCCGTCGTGCCGGCACCGCGCGCAGAAGATCCTGTGCCAGAGCAGCAAAAAGACAGCAGGAAAAAAAACGAACCCAATCCGACCTGGCCCAGGCGAAGCGAGGACGTCCAGGAAGAACCTGATGCAGGACGAAACACGAAAACGACAAACGTGACAGGGTCCTCGTAAAAGGCAGTCTTGTTCGAGACGTTGGAGACAAACCTCAGAAACAAGACGACAGCGCGTGGCGGGGTGACTCTAGGCCCGGAGCGCGTGAGGCGTCGCATTGCACCTGACGCCCGGGCTCGGCGTGCCTGAGCAATGCGAAGCCACAGGGTGCAAGGCGAAGGCTTGGAGCTAAGATTCACGCCGCAACAACTCTTCAGCGCGAAGGGTCACCACCGGCACCTGTGGCCGTGCCCGGAACCGGCACTGCTGGTCGAACCGGGGCTGGGGGCTGCGCGCGGCCTCCAGTGCCCGCCGGAGTTGGCGCCCTCGCCGGAGTTCTTGTGCTGGAGGTGTCGCGTCTCACTTCGCCAGGTACGCCACACCGCCTTGCGTCGACGCTTCGCCACAAGCTGCGCGCGCCGCGTGCGCGTTTTCGCCCAGGTCTCTTTGTCCAACACGCTGCCTCCGCGTTGGCCTCAGCTTGCTCGGTCACGCTCGCCTTATGCTTGCTTTTGCGTTCTCTCAGGCCGCCCCCCCCCCCCGCAGAATATTTGCGAATGGTGCCACCGCGAGCAAGCCGCTCCTGTGTGAGGCTAATGCAGGTTCGAGAATTCTGTTTCCCGTCAACCTGTCCCCTTTTGTTGCAAGGATGGCACTTTTGGTGCTCGCATTCCAGTTTCGACCGTCCCTAAACTTGCCCTCTCGCTGGCGGACCTTCTTCGCCGTCAAATTTCGTTTTACGTCGTGCGCGAGGCGCGAAGAATCCTTAACTCAAGCTGCGCAGCGCCCAGCGCGCCAGCCGGCCCTCCGCGGCGTAGCTCCACTTGACATGGATGCAATCCTGCCACGCCAGGCGGGGCCTCAAGAGAAAGGTGGCTGCGACGAAAGCAAATGCGGCGCCTCCCGTGCGAGAGCATGACGCCTGCGGAAATGACAGGGCGAGGGACGAGGGTGGAACAAACAAGAAACGCTCGCGAACCTGCGTTTGCTGCACACTGGCTCGCCGTGCGACGCGCGGGCCGACGCATGACCTTGGAGAAAACAAAGCAGCACGGGCAGGGGGCGCCCCCCCACAAATTTCAACCAAAAAGTTAAAGTGTAAAGATCCGTTACCCAAGCACGGTCAAGACGACCAAAAAAGCCCAGGACGCTAAAAAGGCCAACCTATTTCAAACCTTCTTATAAGCTTCCTTTTGAAAGCTCCTCGTGAAGCTCCTTATAAAAGCTCTTGCGAGCCCCCTTCCCTTTTCAACCTCGCCTTTAAAAAATGCAAGTTAGAACATGCACTTCAAAACAACTAAGCCACTAAACCAACCAAAAAAGCTATACCACCAAAGGAACCGCATGTAAACGGAAAACCCAACCACTAAACCAGCCAACAAAAACAGTATCACTCTACGGAACCGGATGGCCGGGGTTGTCGCCAACGGCAACTCACGGCCTTCAGAGACAAGACGAGGCCAAAGCCGTATTGCGACTCCCCGCTCCAAATCAGCCTC